GGCCCCCCCCCCCCCCCCCCGAAATTTCAGGAAATCTTAAATTATTACTTATAAAATAATATAAAATACATGGTACTATACGGCAATACGGCTATTTTTTTTATAGTATTACGTTCATAACCAAGCAATATCACAAAGACACAAAACGTGTATAACGTCATGCCTGTCAGTATCGATATTATCAATTATCATTTATCATATTTACACATATCTATGTAATATGTATTTACATTGTTATCATTCTTAAATAACGACTATATCGAGGTTAGGTTCTTATTTTCTTGTATCATCGCGTAAACATAACATAACTTAAGTGTAACACTTGTTTTTGTAACACCTTACCTTTTTGACTTTTTATTTATTTAAAGTTTTGCTATTTAATAAATAAATAAAATTAATTGTTGGCACATGGTTTTAAAAATGAGTGATAAAAAACCAAAACGTAAACAAGGTAACTTGGATAGCTTCTTCAGTAAAAAATTTAAAACGGAGTTTAAATCTGTAAGTACTCTAAGAATTAAAATTATTTAAGTCACAAATCACATTATGTTTATAATAAAACTCAAATTTATAGGAATAGCTATAAATAGTTAATTTAATTTTTTTATTTAGCTAAGGTAAATTAAATTGGCCTGTGAAGGATTGAGATTTGAGACAAAAATGTATTTTCATAATCCATTAAAAATTGTATTATAAAACATAAAAAATTATAAAGTGATAGTTTTTAGTGTTTTTACTGAGTAAGTATTAAAAACAAAAATGATTCTTACATTTAACTAATCTAAAGCTTTTGCTTTTGCTTTAATCTGAAATGCTGCATGTTATATTAAGTTATAAACTATTCTGTTGAAATGTTAAATATTTTATGGTAAATCTTATTTTAACAAATCTAAATACATTATTACATTCAACTACTATTCTAGTAGCCAGTAGTTATCTACTCAGATAATAATTTATATTATGTAAAATTAATGTAAATACTGAAAAAAAAATATTAAAATTAAAATTAAAATTCTTGTATTGAAATATATTATAATAATTTTTTTTTTATTACACTATTGCTTTAGCATTAACCACAATTTAAAATAATACTTTCTTATTATTGAAACTACCTAATTTAATATTTTTTTTTTAAACTAAATGCAGTTATTTTTAATATTTTATGCCACAATTAGAGTTTAATTTAATTTTTATTTTGGTGTACTTATGCTATTTAAATTTGCTGTAATGCTGAATTTTGCATAATTTGATTAGATTAACCACAATTGTGAAATAAGCAATACTGCAGCATTATTTGAAGCGACTGAACCTATTCCTTCTGCACTAGATTCTCCAAGTAATTTAAGCTTATTAGTTCTTTAAATATACTAAAAATTATAATTATAATTCAACATAAAATAATTAATGGTATTTTATATTACTATTAGGTACAAGTAACATATCACCACAGAATGATTTATCAAAACCGATAAATTCCAAATATGATATTGGTCTTTATGTAAATTATGTTGATTCATTACCAAATGAAGAAAAGGTTTCAATTTTAAATAATGTATGGACACCTGATCCTAATTTCATTTTTCCATCTCAAAGTCATGCTAAATTTAAAAGACAATTTTAAATCAAATGGCTTAATACATTTAATTGGTTAGCATATTCTAAATGTAAAGAAGGAGCCTTTTGTAAATACTGTGTTCTTTTTCTCAACCAAAATCAAGTTGGGAAAGGTTCTCATGAATCTTTAGGTGGATTAGTTACTAAACCTTATACAAATCTAAAAAAAGCTTTGGAAACATTTAGATGTCACGCTAGTTATAGTTATCACCGCACTGCTGTATTGAATGCCGATAATATTATTGCAATTCTAAACAATAAACAAGATAATGTTTTGGTTCAGTTAAATAATCAACTTAAAGAGGATATTTTACAAAATCGTAATATGCTCAAGCCTATCATTCAGACTATACGATTGTGCGGTAGACAACAATTTGGTTTAAGAGGGCATCAAGATTCTGGTCGTATATCAATGAAAGAACCAATTCAAAATGACGGAAATTTTCGTTGTCTTTTGAGACATCGTGCACAACATGGTGATTGTACGCTAAAAAAATATTTGGAAAATTGTAGTTCTAATGCCATGTATACAAGTCCACTTATCCAAAATGAAATTATCAACATTTTTGGCGAACTTATTCAATCAGACATAATTAAAAAAATTTCAAAATCAAATTATTTTTCTGTACTTGCCGACGAAACGACAGATATTGCACAAATAGAACAATTTTCAATTTGTATTCGGTATTTTGAAGAAGATTTGGTGGTTCTTCGAGAAGATTTTCTTACTTTTGTACCAGTTCATGATGTAACTGGTCTTGGTTTGGCAACCGTTTTACTAAATGCATTGAAAGAACTTGGTTTGGACTTGGATAATCTACGCGGACAAGGTTACGATGGGGCTGCTACTATGTCAGGTAACTTTCGTGGTTTTCAGGCAATTGTGAAAAAGAGCTACCCAAAAGCTTTATACACTCACTGTGTTTCTCATTCCCTGAATCTTTGCTTATCTGATGCTGCCAAAACACAAGCTATTCGTAATTCATTTAGTATTATTTCTGATTGTTGTGGTTTTTTCCATTCCTCAGCAAAGAGAACGACAATTTTAAAAAATAAAATTATAGAGATCCTACCTAACACTCAGTCGTTCAAATTAAAGTCGTTATGCGAAACTCGGTGGGTTTTACGCCACGAGGCTGTAATGCTGTTTAAGGAATTTTTAGAACCTATTGTCGTCGCTCTTGAACAAATAGATTGTGATTCTTCAAACAGAACAACTAGCTTATTAAATACCATCTGTAATTTTAAATTTTTAGTTTCTGTCTGCGTATCATCTAAATTGTTAAGTTATATTTATCATTTATCAGAATACTTGCAAACTAAAAATATTGATTTAGTAAATGCCCTTGATAGAGTGAATCAGGTAACAATCCAACTTCAAATATTAAGAGATAATGCAACTGATGAATTTAATAAGATTTATGAAGAAGTCAACCGTTTAGGAGGTTTAATAAATGTGGAAGAAAGTATGCCACGAATATGTATTACTCAAAGAAACCGCCAAAATGTTCTTTTTCAAAGTACTAAAGAATTTTATAGGAGAACAGTTTTTATACCTCACTTAGATGATATACTTTTATCATTGAATGAACGTTTTTTATCACATCATGAAATAATAAATTTTCTGCAATACGTTTTACCAAATATGATTGTAGATAAACCATATTCAAATCTTAAAACAGCAATTACATTTTACCAGAATGATTTAAAAGGTTATGATGACATTATAGAAGCTGAATATCAATTATGGCAGTCGAAATGGAACTTAGTTGAATCTCGGCCATCGACGGCAATCGTAGCACTTCATCAATGTGATCAACTAATGTACCCAAATATGTATGATCTTCTTAAGATACTATCAATACTTCCTGTTTCAACAGCAACTGCAGAGAGAAGTTTTTCAACATTAAGGAGATTGAAAAATTATCTTCGAAACACAACATCTGAATCACGGCTTGTGGGACTAGCTCTATTATCAATTCATAGAGATGTAGATATTACTGATGATATGGTACTAGATAAGTTTTCGAACAGTGGAAAATCTAGACGACTAAAATTAACAATATGAATAAAACAATAATTTATTTTCTTAAAATTTTAAATATAGTTTTTTTTAATCACTTATTTTGCAGTTATTATTTTTTTTTTTT